GATTTTCTTTAGCACGGCCACACCAGATTGTTTTTCTTACTCGGTGCATCGGCAATGAATACCAATGACCTTGACATTCAGGTCATAGACAGTAATGGAGAAAGCAGCCTTAACTTCACATCATTACAAGAACAAGATATGAGGCAAATAATGAAATTATTTCTAAAACACATGAATAACAGAAATAAACTCAGTGAAACGACATTACCATGGAAACCTATTCAAGTGAGATGGTCGTGTTACAATATGTCAATGGTGTCATGTTTAGATATACGCTCTTCATCTTGGGATGGTCAAGAACAGTCAGGATCAATTCTTCTGCCAATATTTCTACAATATCGTCACATTAACATCTTCCCGAGCTAGCACTGGCTGATGTCCTTGTCAGACGGACTTAACTCCCCTTAATCCTTCAGTAATTCAAGACGGTCGCCATAGAGATCAACATGTCTGTGGAACTGAAAGATTTACATTTAATGGTCATTGAAGATGTACTAAGTATAACCGGAAATTGGATTGTAAAAAGATGGACATTGATTCCGTGAATGTTGTTTTCTTGAGGTCGTAACTGACATGAATGTTTATCAGTCCAAAGTACCCTATTATTTTCCTATTCAGTTGTAATACAACGAAATAACTGGATAATGATTGTGTACCTTTGAAGAGAATCAAATAGAATGAGTCACAATCCATTTCTGACACAGGCTCTCTGCAGCTACGAACCAAATGTCCAAAAAACATGAATAACCTTGAATCTGCTACAGCGGACGTACTGACATCCCAACTTTACCAACCAGTGCAGTTTGCGTTTATCAAGTCTTTGTGGAAATTTCTCTTTAATTAAAAGCAAAAATACATAAATTGTAATTTTGTAGAAATAACCCGATTTGGTGATTTCCTCTTCTGCACCTGTCTGCCTTCTCCCATAATGCATCTGGCTTCCTACCTCCCTTCGGCGGTATGTCGCGTGCCTGCATGTACTTTCCCCCTATTAACAGCTATTAGCGAAGTCTGTGGATCTATTTGAAGTTGCACAGTTTATGGCCCAAGTTTCAGCGTTTATGTTTCAGCTCCGATCCCCTCGTTTCCATCTCATCAAAATCTGTGCCAGTAATTATAAATCTCTCGCCATCCTATGGCGTTAATGGTTGTGGCACCCGACTTGTTCAACAGCCTTCCCTTCTCATTCAAGCTGGGATCGTCACACTTAATTCTTTCATAATTTTTACAACTTAGTATTAACTTTGATGTCAAATTGATCATAGACGCAGAAAATGTTTTGATTTATCCACATCTTCTAAAAAATGCGAAATTTGACAAGATATAGAACAGAATATATTAATGACTGACTGACTGAGTTTGGTTTTACGCCGCTTTTAGCAATATTCCAGCAACATCACGGCGGGGGACACCAGAAATGGGCTTCACACAATGTACCCATGTGGGGATTCGAACCCGGGTCTTCGGCGTGACGAGCCAACGCTTTAACCACTAGGCTACCCCACCGCCCCGAACATATTAATGAAAAAATGTCCAAAACACTGTTTGCCCCTCCAGTAAATAATAGAACACAGGGTCAAGTTTACAAATATTTACAATCCAAGACAACACAATATTGGAATTCCCTCACAGTCACAATACGATACAACTGATGACCTTTTTTCAGCGAAAATGACAAACATGGGATTCTATCGAAAGAAATCCTTTCCCGATCTACTGAGACCAAACAACAGATTTTATATCTTTAAGTGCCCCACTCGACCTGAATAGGAGCAGAGAGTTCCAGCCCAGAAATAGTCCCTTGTAATTATAGAGCCAGCCCATAGCCTGTACTGAAAATAACAGCATAACATCTCAACTAGTTCAGCTCAGGTACCACTTTTATGTTCCGGAGATAAAACATCAAAGCGAGATCTCGTCTGCACTGACCTGAAGGGCTTGATCACAGGGGCTAGCTGGGGTGAAGGAACAGCGAATTGACTTCCCATAAAGAGGGGAACATGTTAGGTGCTGAACACTCTTTCAGTTGTGTCATGAGGTCTCGACCTCGAGGTTGAAGGTCGTATATATACAACTCTCAGAATCCACTATCCTCAGAGGGGCGGTGGGGTAGCCGACTGGTTAAAGTGTTTGCTCGCTAGGCTGAAGACCCAGGTTCGATTCCCCACATGGGTATAATGTGTGAAGCCCATTTCTGGTGTCCCCTGCTGTGATATTGCTGGAATATTGCTAAAAGCGGTGTAAAACCATACTCACTCACTCACTATATTCAGTAAGGGACTGTCGGGATCGAACTGTGACCATCAAGGATCTGAATGTTTATATGTTGTCTAAAACTGCAAACAGCAATATTCCAGATATATGATGTAAATAGTCAAACTAGGCCGACCAAGAGATTGATATCATGAGCAACACTCCACATCTTCAGGTACCAGGATACACTATCAAGCAATTATAGAGTGTCTACCTAATTCATCTGCTTGGCTCTTCAAACCAACATAGGTTGCCAAGGAATAAACCTCACTACAGGAGTGTCTAATCTTAAGCTTTATTGGAGCCATGTTTTGTCATGGTTGAGAACTGCTACCATTATATATTTTACCATACCCATTAACAAACCTTGACTAAGCTATACGCTTCATCAGATAACTATTTTACGCAAGCACTTTGAAACTTTTAAAACTCAGGATTATGGTACTTAAAACATCAATGTTTCTGTCTGCTCAAGTCTTGAAAACAACTTCAAAATGTCAGCAAGTATTGACAAAAAAATCTTTCTTTCTAGATGTTCATGAAGTAATCAAACCAATGTGATGTTGAAGAGAACGCTTAAGATTACCAGGCAACGCCTACAAGTGCGTCACAGTAGTGCATGATGGGTAGGCAGCAGGATTGTGGGTAATCTGTTAGCTCACCTGTTGTGTTTGTTATCATTTACACCTAACAAGCTGATAGGTCATTACTAAATGTCCCCAACTTTAAAACATCTGCACCCAGTGTTTCCTAGATAAACGTGCTATCATGATCCCATGGGTTTAAACCACCTTCGTAAATTGTTTTTATTTGCCCTTTTCGACAAACCTGCTGAAGAGTAGATGAGAGTTACTTTGAAGTCTCGATTATCACATTAAAAACGCCCATATTTCATAACTTTATCAAGTTGTGATTTCCGTGGCTCTCGTCCACACTTTAGTACATCGAGTGTGTTCACTCACAGATAAAAGACGGACGATGAACCTTTTTTTCAATAAGCATGATGGAAAGCTTCAAGTCATAAAATAAACAATTATGAGTCTTACGCCATATGATTCACCTAACTGGGCTTGCGTAGCGCTGTTTCTGAAGTTTTATGAAACAGGGAGAGATTCGGTGGGGTTTAAAGCACCCATGGCCCTCACATCACATCTGCTGTGAAATGACTAAGCTGGGCTCGTTCTGGATTTGATTTTTCAAGACTGGTGTAATTTTCAGCTCAAATGTCATGACATAGGATTCCCGGCGGTCACCAGACATGGAAATACCCTTCCATATAAAGTATGTTTGGTGTAAATGTCAATACCAAAAGTCATCAAATCGGTGCATTTTTATCAAATTGGCCCCAGGAGTACATAGTCTGTGATGTAAAGCAAATAGCATCTATACCATCCTACACCTTCAAGCTGTGAACACACTGGAGAAATTCAACACAGATCTCAAAATGACGGCGAGGTCGCCTTGTGGAATTGGATCATTTTTTCCTTATGGGACAAATTGTCCATCTCAGCTAGACTGTGGATATTTGAATATAGGAAATCCTATGCAATCGTGTGAAGTTGGGAATTAACTAAGCAAACAAGAGTGTCCAGTGGCATTTGAGTTTGAGCTAATCGCGCCGGGGAACGCTTCAGATGTAAGTCAACAGGATATAAGCATTCAAACTAAATATGAAAAAGTCCCTTTTTTTGAAACATAAAGCATGCAATCTCCAGAAACAAGCATCAAATGAAGGCATCCCACAGTTATTGTACTGTATAATCCTTCATACTGCAAGTTCTTATCAATGGTGTTATTTATTCTGGATGGGCGATTATTGTAGAGGGGATTGACTCTCTCTGTTGTGCACCTGTTGTCTGATCTTAGAGGATTCAACACAGGGAAAGACCCGCATACCCTCACCAAGAAAACCTCAGAAATCATATATGAGTTCATGTATTAAAGTGAGGCATTATTCCAGCTTTAATATATTAACACTGAGTGAGTGAACCACTCATGGCAATGTTCCATCAATATCCGAGCTGGAAACATCAGAATGAGTTTCATATAATTCGTATGTAATGAGACTGAGTGTGGTATTTTATTTATACCCACGTCTTACATGTATTAAATTGACAAAATAGCTTATTTTTGTTATTTTTATGGTTTCAAACCGAAACCGGTTTCATAAAGAGGTTGCTGAAGAGTTTTATAGTGTAGTACACTATTTGCATGACGTCACACTGTAATGACGTCACTATCTTGGTAACCGACGTCACGATGCATGTCAGTTGTCATTGCCTCGTACAGACTCCTACAGTAAACTACTCTGTAGCACCCCTTTACTTGGTTTGCAGTTTCTTCACTCGGCTAAAATTACTGGTGGAATCACTGCGTTTGTGTTTTTCGACAGATATAATGTCTCAGTTCGACTCACAATTAAACAGCGACACGGCAACGTTCGCCATGTTTACATTCCCACAATGCATATAAGTTGTAGAATGAATGAATTCATGTGTATGCTATGAATGAAAAAATAGTTACATCAACGTGACCTAATTGAGAGGTCATCGGTTATCCAATCAAATCGTTAGAATCTCAGGTCAAGTCGTTACGACACAGTTCAATGAGATATGACACTCATGTGACGTACAAGATTAGTATGCAACTACCCATACGTTGAGCACGTGGGTAATAATATCATGTATCAGCCATGATGCTCCCAAGATTTATATCCCAGGTAAGTGTGTGATAAATGCTGTACTCACCCACTGACGTGCAGGGGATAAAACCCTGGTGGTGGTGTTGGTGGTCTGTTGTAACAGTAAAAGTCCTCCTCCGTTTGCGTACCTATTGACACCATTGTCGGAGAACGATTTTTCATCTTATTCTTATTAACCCTACGTAAAACCTCCACCACGATGGGTTCCTTGGCCGTGCGGAATGCTTCTACCGCCTCCTCATGACTTGACTGTGACAGATCCTGTCCATTAACCTGCAACAAAAACAAACATCGTAAGTAACGCGGTCAACGTGACATTATTAATATGACATCCATGAAGCAAATGTAACATGGTCGATGAAGGAAAACAAGATGGACGTATAGTCGTTGAGATATCATTAGTGCCATGAAATGTCAGTAACATGGTCCACATGACACCGTAAGTAACATGAACTATGTGATATCGTAAGTCATATGGTCCACGAGATATTAGCAGAAACATGGTCCTAGAGACATCAAAAGTAATTTGGTCTACAAGATATCATCGAAAACAAGTTGAGGAAGATGTGAGTTGTATGATCTATGAGATATGATAAGGAATAAGGCCAATAAGACATTGTAAGTAATATGGTCTATGAGATGGCATCAGAAATATTGTCTACAATATCATCAATGACCAACAGTATGCTGTTAAATACTTATGGTTCATAAATCCAATTGACCAAACAGCATCATCACAACTGACCTTAACCTGTTTAGTTAGTGAGTGAATCTAGTTTTACGCCGCACTCAGCGATATTCCAGCTATATGGCGGCGGTCTGTAAATAATCAAGTCTGGACCAGACAATCCAGTGATCAACAGCATGAGCATCGATCTGCGCAATTGGGAACCGATGACATGTGTCAATCAAGTCAGCGAGCCTGACCACCCGATCCCGTTAGTCACCTCTTAACCTGTTTAGTTCCTGAAAGTAATTTTTTGAAAGTACATCTCCCAATGATTTAACAATTATTATCAGCATCTTGTCCATAGATGGATTCAATACAGACTAGATGCTTAACAGCATAAGAGTGTGGATCTGGTTTAGACACACACAAACAAAAAATGACGATAATAATTCATGGAGTGACTAAGCCACCATCCAAACATCTCACATGTACATCAGAAGAGCAAGTGAGTTCTTAAGAAGCTTCAAACAATATTTGTGGACGGGACAGCATTAATGAGCATCTTACATTGAACAGTTAAGAATCAAACCCAGACCATGCACAAGACAAGTGAACACTTCATCCACAACCCCATTCCTGTCCTCCATTAGATCTCAATCCCATTTCTACTCCATAACGTCCACTGACATTTCAAACATTGCAGCCTTAGAAGCAAGGAAGTTGTCAAAACAAAGAATATCAACCCAAAACAGCTCCATGAATTTCGAACACTTACGATCAAGTCCAGCCTTTGAGGAATCCATCTAGTTCTGAGATTGCCTGCACTGCATGAGCCAACAACCAACCATCTTAATTACCACAATGCAAATCACTTACAGAGAAATAAACGGAAATACATCACCCACATCAAACAGATGAACTCCAAAGGACATTAGTTAATATTGAAGGTGATTCATTCAGGAAGTGATATTGACCTCAATTCCCTCATGCTATATCCATACAACGACACACGGAACTCAATGCTTGCATCACTGGTACAGCAGCAAAGACTACCTACAGAGGCGTTATGGATTATGAAGTCATATCTCCCAACAGGCAACCAAGCTTGCAACTAATTGTTGCTACTGGTCGCTTTCGTGTACCCCTGGGGCAAGCGCCCTCTTGTGTAGCAATGGGTCGTTAGACCGCCTCTCGGCAAACTCATTCATTTTTTATGAAGGTGAGACAATAATGACATCAAAAATAGCGACCAAACAAACTCAACCCAATCTAGCTCACAGACAAGATTAACCTACCAACAGCAGTTTCTTCTAATAAGGGGCAGAGATGCACAAACTACCTGGACGCCAAGTAATCAGCTTCATAAATATTTCCCTTTCATCTGATTGGCTGACTGTGGATGACAGCCCCAGTGGTGACCTTGGCCCCTTGGGACACAGCGGAGGAATCCACGTGTGGCCAGGGTAATGACGTCTTGTTGCACTGTATTTCCACGCTAAAACACAGCATCTCTTGGTACACTCGTTGTATGGGAGACTCGTGATCAATAGACGTGATAACATGGTTTAATCTGACGGCAAAATATGGACTAAACGTCTCCTGGGTTTCGTCTTAATAAAGTTAACTTTTTCCCAACACCGAGGTTAAAACAATCCCAAATTATTCAATCTTTTTGTAATGGATATTTCATATCAAGTTAAGATTGTCAGTGTCAACAAAGGCAGAGAACAAACAAAATAGGAGCCCAATTTGATGAAGTTTGGACCTGAATAAGCATGCACGCTCAAAAGTCAAACAATCCAATTTTTTGGAACAATTGTGAAAAATCCGTGGCCATAAATTTTTAAACTTTTGAGGCGATTGGAATCAATAATGGTTAACACTCAAGAATCGCGGAAGTCACTCGGGGCTTGGCAACAACAGAGACCGATCCCGAACTTGTTACAAGTTGAAGAGCTTCTACAAATATGGTGACCTAGCTGGTTCTATTATCAAGAATCCTTATCATTAATGGCCAGTAAAGTTAGCACTTTAACCTAGAAGGACTGGATAAAAATACTAACATAACACAAACTAGTTCCAATGAAGATTGAAAAATAAATTATTTCGCTTAAACATCCCACGAGTATAGTTCAGTATTGATAATGAAAATATCACCAAGAATGTAAAATAAATATGTGAAATTCTGTCATAGAATCCAAATTCCCATTTGAATTATTCAGCAAAAGCAATTACCCAAACAACTTCATTTTGGATTTTTTCTAATGAAAATCATTTAAGTAGAAAGCTGGATCATGAATTGAAGAAAATCCATTAACATGCAATTGTTCTATGAAAGATCTCGGTTCGAGATTCTGGTAACAAATGTGGGGAACCATTCATCTGGAAGATGTCGCAGTGAGAGCTGAAAAGCGACCTGATATCATTTCGGGCAGGGAAGACAAAAAAAAAGAAAGAAAAAACATGCCTTGATTAAACCATATGAGAAGGGAAACTGCACGTTCAGAATCCGAGAGTCTGCTTTCTTTGTGGGTAGATAAGTCGCATTCTAAAATTATCTCCTAGAATGAAATATTTGTGAAATGTAGCCCTCGCCTTCTTCAACAGCTGTTGCCCCCATAGAAAACTGATCTTCCGAGCTGCAGCCTCACAGATAGATATAAACAAAGATGACTGGACAAGCAGGTGAATCTGCAGACATCTCTTGAGCCGGGCTGTCTACCTATGTGTGTGAATGTTGAGGTAGAGAGGCAACTGGAGCATGCCTTTCTTTCACAACTGTTTATTTCACGGTAGCATAGATGGTCACTCATGGAAGTCAGTAGTTTACCAGTGATGTGATTCTGGCTGAAGTTGTAGTATTGATATGGGGATTGCAAAAAGTTAGAATAAACTGACTGACTGAGTTTAGTTTTACGCTGCTTTTTAGCAATATTCCAGCAATATCACGGCGGGGGAAACCAGAAATGGGCTTAACACATTGTGCCCATGTGGGGAATCGAACCTGGGACTTCGGCGTGACGAGCCAACGCTTTAACCACTAGGCTACCCCACCGCCCCATGTGACCTCTTGCCGGTACCCCTGCACCTGACCCAATAAAATTATTAAAACTAAACTACCAGTGCCACCCAACCTGACCCCCCACTACCAGTGCCACACCACCTGACCCCCACTACCAGTGCCACACCACCTGATCCCCACTACCAGTGCCACCCACCTGACCCCACTACCAGCACCACCCCACCTGACCCCACTACCAGTGCCACCCCACCTGACCCCCACTACCAGTGCCACACCACCTGACCCCACTACCAGTGCCACCCCACCTGACCCCCACTACCAGTGCCACACCACCTGATCCCCACTACCAGCCACACCACCTGATCCCTACTACCAGTGTCACTCCACCTGACTACCCCACTACCAGTGCCACCCCACCTGACCCCACTACCAGTGCCACCCCACCTGACCCCCACTACCAGTGCAGCCCCAGTGCCACCCCACCTGACCCCCACTACCAGTGCCGTACCCTCACCAGCCCTTCTAAATGTATTACCAGACACAGACCCATCATGTTTACACTTCAAAGGTCACATCTATACACCATGTCCATGTTTTGTTAAGAGACTCTTCTCCACCACCATCAGCAAGATGCCATGGAAAGATGAGGCTCACCTCAACCTACAAACACGATCCCACATCTGGGTCTAGATGCATAATGGACAAGCTACATTTCCATACAATCATTCAATCCCACCTTTCCATACAATCATTCAATCCCGCCTTACCTTCAGTGAAATATTTCATGAGTATCAATTTCAAATGTCAGCAAATATAGATCCACGATTTTAAACTGCTTATCAAGCTAAACCCATCATATTTAATGTTCCCGGCAATCATAAACAACAAACATGGGATATCAAGTGACATATCGCAGATATTCCACACAAAGTGCTCTCTTAATAACATGCTGTAATGGTTATCAGTCTATAAGATAAACTTACCAATCTGCGAACTCTGACGCCATGAATTGAAATATCTTGCTTGAAATCAAAGTAACATGTCCCACTTCTACAGTAACAACGGGTCACTTTAGTCCACTCCTAAACGCTTATTTCTCCTCCCAATTGTGTTGTATATTTCTGATATAAATATATCAAGTTTACTTGCCCTTTGAATATGGGTGCAAAGATATGGCAAGGCATATTGATGCTATAACATTTAAAAAAATATATGAAATATTAATAAAGATAGCATTATGAACTCTAGAGAGACATGGCTGCAAGATGCCCTGATAAAACATTTGTCATAAACATGATAACATACTACATCGTTAACAAAAATACAGCTGCTTTCAATTAATCAACAACATTAAAGAAATAAACTTCAAATTATTTTTTTTTAGAAATATGTTAGTTTTACAGTTTGATTTCAGCCCAAGTCAATAAGAGATGTTTATTCAAAATTAAATTTGCCAGACAAAGAAGAAATTAATAAACTAATGAAATTTTGTCAGTTAACATTTAGATCATGATAGGGTTACTTACAGTTCAAGTACAGCCAAAGACCTCTAAACTATATTCACAAGGCAAAGCTTAAGAT